TTTATTACTGGCTCTTGACTGGTTTGGGGGGGGGGGGCTTTCAGAAGATGATTCTTCTTTAATAGGCAATCTATTTCAAAAGAAGTTGTGTTAAACACAATCGGTTTACAAGAGCAACTCGGGTGGTCTTTTTTTTGTCTGATTCTTCTTCGAGGATTAAATCTGAAGCAGACATTAGTGATCATCGTTCACCACGTACTTTTCTACTCGGATGATCTCTACAGAATATATCACCTTGGTCTTTTCCTGTCCCCCATGTTCACGTTCTTTGCGTAGGTAATTTTTGTAGACAACGAAACTGGTTGATTGATATTATCGTCTTACTAAAAAGATATGTGTACCTCTTCCCCTTTTGCCCTCTATTTTTCCAGTGAAAACCAGATGCTGAACGCCTTAGTCAACTTGGTGTCGACCCAAGTCCTTTTGCTCATACTGACTTGCCTTGCATAGTTTTAATTTTATTGCTGCTGTTGCTGGGGAAAGCCAACACAATTTAGTAGCCAGCTGCGTTGTCCTTCTGCACGTGTGGACTGTTCTAAGACCAAGACCCCCACCCGTGCAGTTTAGGGGACATGTACATATCATATCGTATTTAGCTCAATGCGGTGTCATAGCTTTATCCAAGCCTTCGGCAAGTTTGTTCAATTATTTTCTAAGCCCAGAAAGCATTTTTTTTCTAGGAGTGAGAAAAATACTGTGTCATTCTTTTAACAAGTCTTAGTACTCTTAGTGTAACTGCATGTTGTGTCTTTTCTTGCTCTTTTCCAATATTTAGAATTTGAATTTCGACAAAAGATTTCTTTAGTACAGGCCACTGATATCACAAATTAAGAAGCTACAACTTTCAAAAATTCAAAATTTTGGGTCAAGTATATCTAAACAGTTGGACAACGTATATCTTTCTAACACTTTTTTCCTCATTCAGACCTGCTCTGTTTGTTGAGGTTTTTTCTCGTCAAACCATCAAAATCGAGCGACTGTTTTAAGGGATTGTCCCATCTTTCTCTTTCTTTTGTTTCGCAGGTTCATGCAGTTTCTCACTCGGCTGATTGGTGTAGGTTCCTCAGTGCCTGGGGAGGGGGGG